GGACAGGGAGAGCCGGAACCAAAAATCGAATCTCGTGACATTTCTTACTTAATGAAAAGGAACAAGAGAGCGATCATTCCTGTCGCTTTCTCTCCGAGCATTGTTACCGTGAAAAAGCTCTTTTCAACATTACATCCCGAATGGTCTTCGTTCGAGAAAGCGTGTTTCGTCGACGAATAGTGAAACAACAGGTGTCTACACGTTCTACGCGCCAAGTTGAGCGCGATAACGGGAATGAAAGTAACATTCTGTTCTATCGTCGGTGGATTACAAAACTCGAACAATTGGAGAAATTGAAAACACGAGTTCGTTTCGTTTCCACGAGTCTCTTTTTACGAAATTTGGTCGTCCGGTAAAAGACCAAAAGCAAGAAGAATCTTAATCAAAGGTGTGCGCACGTTCGAGTCGGAACACGTTCGTCGGTAGGGAAGATAAAAGAAGCGACGACATCTAGGAGGATCGGGATCGAGACACAAGTTAGAAGAGGACAAAAGCGCACGGAGTCGTGAGTTTTTTAGATACTGTCGGAGAGCGTCGCCGAGTGGTGGGAAAAAAGCATAGCACGAATGGAGAACGAAAGGCAAGCGAGGACACGAATAATTGAGGTTGAAAGCCAGAGGACAGGAAAGATGTCTGCAAAGCAAAGGCAACGGTAGAAACATAAAAGAACACGTTTAAAGTCCGTGCTAGTGTGTAGGATTGCTGGAGATTGCGAGGGGTTGGTGGGAAAAAAATTGGTGGACCACGATTGGCGGACGGTAGTGGTGGTGATAGAAGAGTGCGAACATAGCTACGAGTGTGAAACATAGCTACGAGTAGTATGTAGTACGAAAAGCATAAAGGAGAAGCGGTAAATAGAGGATGGAAGAAAAAAAAAAGAAAGAGTACGCGTAGAATGAATGGAAAGAGAAATACGTAGTGTTCGAGTACAGAAGAGTACTCGATCGAAACAGAGGAAAGAGAAAGGTGTACAGTAAGAAAAAAAAAAGGCACGTGGTGTTGTATGTGGTGGTAAGCGAGAGGCGAGAACGTGGATGAAAAAAGAAAAAAAGTAAGAAGAGTTAGGAACAGAAAGAAAAGAAACGTGAACGGCGAAGTTTCGGATTAAAGTGTATGGGATAGCGAAGGGAGGTTGAAGAAGAAAAAGAAAAAAAAAGAAAGAAGGAAGGCGCGTTACATCCTGGAGTCCGATGTTCAGAGTCGTACGATGGCCGGGGCTCTGTCCGAGAATGCCCCGAGGCCTGTCAGTGTCGTTGCGGTAGGCGGTGCAACCGTTGACAATGCGAGGAGCAACCCGATCAACAGACCGCAGGTACTTAACGTTATTTTTCGACTATGTGTATATTTAACCTCTTGCGCTGGCAATTGCGGACCATAACGAGTGACCAAACCGTATACAATAATTCGTCGCTTTCTTTTTGAACTACCGTCGATATGATATCACTGGATAAAAATTATTACTAAAAACTAATAAATCTATTATTTGTTTTGCCTGGATTATATTTAAATATATTTAAATATATTCAAAACTGAGACAATATTGCAATTTTGAGACAAAAAATTCTCGACGTACGTGGCACGTCATTCCAGCGCAAGAGGTTAACTGACTTTTAATCTTTTCACGATCTTTCACTTGAGCATTCAAATTATGCGGTTTTATAATTAATATATTACGATATTCAGATTATCTTAATTCTTATTATTTATATTGTTGAAATTTTTTATCATCTGTAGGATCAATAATTTCTATAAATAGATTATTTTTGATTTATATTATATTATATTTGAAAGATTTACATCAAAACGATCAATCTTTGTTAGAACGATTAAACAATTATCCTCCATTTAATCATATATTTAATGAAATTCCATTATTATTCATTAATAATATTAAAAATATTTTCAATATTTTCATTATTCATTAATAATATTTTCAATAAATAATTAATTTAATATGGCAGAATAGTCCTTTGAATTTAAGCTTCAAATATAAAATCTCAAGTTTTTATTAAAAATTTGTAGTTCTTCATTTAAATATTATTTTCGTTTATAACATTGTGAAAGTTACACATCCACATATATACATTAATAATTCTGAAAATACTTATTGGTTCGCTGTTATAGCACATCAATGCATCATTATGAAAAATATCGAATGACTCATTCCCAACAATTTATTAACAGCCAGATTTTAGATTTGAGTGAAGAAAAGTGACAATAATTTTTTTTTTTTCTTGCAAACAAATTAAAGTTCCAATTTTCGTGATCTTCTTTTCAGTTGAATGTTTTACTGATATTCGTTGTTTCCTTCGTTGTTTATATACACATATTTTCACTGCGTTGAATGTTCGTTTCATATGCTCGACGAAGACACAAGTTAATGAGAATGTTCGTAAACAACTCAATAGAATCCCACCTCGGCGCCAATGCGTCTCGAAGGTTCGACAAGGACAGTTTCATTGTTTTCTTTTCCAAAGAAAGCGATGAAAGAATGACACGGTGTGAATTTCTACATTTTCTAGCGGAACAAACTTTTGTAGAAATGATCATTATAGTAGTCACGTTTTAAATCTAGTTTTATTCCAATTTATATATATTATATATAGTATAGTATAGTACTTGTATGTATATGGTTTCAGATCTAAAATTTTATTCCAATTTGTATGTACATTTGTATGTATTAAGTAAATATAATATAACAATACTTACACTATACAATAATAGATTGGTAAATAAAAATATAAAATGCAATATAATGATCATACATTGAGAACTTTTATGATTTATCGAACTATATTATATTAATACTATAGTACTATAATATATTGTCAGTAGTTGACATAATTTTGCGTTTAAGAAGAAAATTGTTTCATGAAAAAATTGAAGGTGAATATGAAGAAATACATTCGGGTGCGATGAATCAAAGATCATAAAAGTAACAATATTTAAGAAATGAAATAAGAGCGTTCAATCGTTTTGAAGAGATAAAAAGTATTTCAAGTATATTTCAAAGTTACAGTTATTCAAAAGGGAGCAACTACTATAACACATTTAACCACTAATAATTATCAAACTCCTTCTATCATATCATGTCATATTAAATAGCTATATGGTAGATTAAATTTAAATTGTTCGCTTAAACGAAAATGAATGCAAGAATCAAAGACATGTGATTGAAGTATGATTCCTAAAAATACGTCGACTCAGGAAATCGAAACCGAATAATTACAGTTACGAGTACGGTTATGGTTGCGGTTACGGTTACGGTTTTCGATACGCCAAACACGTCGTTTTGTTTTATCCAACCCAATTAGAGAAAGTACAAAGACTGACCAAATTAGAGAGAGCCTTATAACGCATGGTCATCGGCAAAAATTTGTAACTTGACATAACCTTCTTCACGAAATATTTCATTACAATAGAGAAATGTCCGTGACCAAAGTTGATGTCTATGATCTATCTGATTAAAATCTGATTTTCAATTATTATACACAAATTTCTTGTATATAATACAATATTTCTTCTGTCTTAATTAGACTTTTCATTTATGAATGCTCCCACCTCTCATAAACTTCCACCCAATTCTCAGAAAAATTTGTTTTTTTTTTCTAAATTTTCCTAGATTTGCTAAATAATCAAACGACTCAAATCAATCTAATGATATTTGTTGGCTTTTATTTTTGACTTTACATTTTACAATTTATTTCAATTTTTTTATAACAGCAACCTAACCTACCAACATAAGATCAAAACAGCAGAAGTCTCTCTTTGTGAATCAAAACTCTATAACTTTGTTTTTGTATTTTTATTTTAACTCTGTTTTTCGGTATTTTCCGCCATTACCAACATTATTTTCACGTACAACCCCCAGGTTGGGAACCGCTGCACTATACGGACAAAGTATTAAAAAATTTACAAAGAGACAACTATGAAAATAAAAAGAGTTTATCAGATATCAGCAGATCTCTTTATATTTACTTGGATGTCCATGTATTTAAAAACTTCTAGCGCTTTTCTTCTGTTAATCCACGCTGCAAGAGAAAACGATGATCTAGCTAACGATGTTTCAACAATCCGGCCTCGAACGTACATATTCGAAAGAGGATTTATGCAACATTTCAAACGCCGGTTCGCCATTAGACTCAGGAATGCAATTAATTATTCGCATCCTACGAATGCAGGCTAAGGAGTTTTTTCTTTATGCAATCGAGCATCGTAACCTGAATTACAAATTAACCTGAAAGAAAATGATATTGGTTCAAAAAGAGCGAACTATTGCACATACGACATAAAGGTGAAATGTATTCTCGTATTGCACGTAGCCTCGGTGAAAAGGATACAATGAGGTTTAGGTTAGGCTCAGTCAGGTTAGGTAACTCAAGGGTTTGAATATTGTAGACTCCAATTGATTTAACCACAATTAGAGTCGTATGCATGCCGGACGCAGTGCAGGCACGTTTATTAATCTGAATGGGCTCTAAGTGAAAACGTCTTGAATTTCAGGTTACGAACGTCGTTTGTA